CACATGAAACCCCACGGAACAAATCAGGACACATTTCACGGTCTGCAGTTGTTTAGAATCATGAGTTGCTATAATGTAATGACTTAAAGGGTCATTGTTTCAGATGGCAATTCCACCTAGGCAAATCCCACAAACATGCTTCCATATTTAGCGAACTAAGACAGTAAATGATTTGCTGGGTTAGGTCATATGCATTAAATGTTGTAGGAACAAATGTTAAAGGTTTTTGTTTAAAATTATCTTTTAAATAAAATTATTGACAACTTAGATCTATGAATTAGCACAGCGGTAGGGCGTTTGCCTTGCACGCAACCAACATGGACGACTTGAGTTCGATTCCTCCGCCCCTCTCGGAGAGCCTGGCAAGCTACCGAGAGTATCTCGCCCGCATGGCAGAGCCTGGCAAGCCACCCGTGATGTATTCGATATGCCAAACACAGTAACAATTATATATAGGAAAAAATAATATTTTATTTATTTATTTAAAATTTTTTTATTTAGTTATCTCAGTGGAGATAACTCAATAGGGCATTCTTTGCGTGCAGGAATCCTGGATTTCATCCCCAAAATCACAGTGTTCCCCCAAGCACTTGCAGAAAGAACCCCCTCAAGCATTTAGTCAAGAGAAGTCCCTGCGCATTACAAGCAGGGCTTAAAAACCAAAGTATCTATCAGAGCCGGGGATGTGGCTCAAGTAGAAGCACTTATACTTGGCATATCTGATGCACTGAGATACTGGCTGGCCCCAAGCACCAGCAGTTATGTTTATGCTGACCCCCAGGACTGGTGGGCCCTTTTCAAAAAAATGTCTACTGCTGACCAAAATTTACATCAACATGTTTATATATAAAGATAGCTGTGTACTAAAAACACTAGTCTTCTAGAATTTGAACTGGAAACTTTCTCCTCATAATACTAGAAGCATGTGGTAAATTTTTGATAAAACTGACAATGTACTACACTAAATAGGAGCATTTTGAATGACCAAGACCATCAATTTCCTTATATGGGTTTCCAACTCTTTAACTTCAAAATGTTAGCTATTAGTCTAGGATATTATTTTCACAAAATGCTTAATCATGACTGCCAACTTTTCCATGACTAACTATAGACTGCCAGATGTTTTTTAGATTATGCTGAGTCATAATTTTCCCCCAGAACTCATGTTCCCACTGCTTATTCCCTCTGCTTTTTGTTTATACTTTGGTTTTAACCTGATTTTTAAGTAAAATAGTTTCATTGTTCTTTTACCATGTCCTATGCCTATAATTACTTTATTACACTTAGTTTCAGCTGCTATCTGTAAGTTTGATTTGGTGCTTGACCGGGTACCTATATATTTTACCCAAATTTATTCTGAAAAGCCATGAAGCCTTTCTATGGAAGGAAAGCTATCAATAGTCTCGTCACAAGACCGATATGCTTCTAATGCATTGCTTCATACTAGCACTGCATCTTTTAGAAAATTTCTAAGCAGATCATAAACTTACGCATTTGTTTTCTTCTCTCCAATAACCACACTTCCTCATTAGATTTTCAAGCTATAGCAAAGATCATTAATAACTAGTTTAGACAACTGAAGTTTGCTGTCTATGGATGTCTTTCAACCCACAATGGATTTGTATTTTCTAACCAACTTGGGCATTAGAGAAAAAAACACCATGTTTCTGACCCAATGATAAATTTTCTCAGTGGAAATGTTTTGCCTGCAATCATGGTTTTATAAAGTATTCATTGGTTCAGAATATATTAAGACCCTACTGTGTGCTTGTGGTTTTGCAAACTGTTGAGAGATGCTAAGAAAAAATAATAAACTAGTTACTTCTTGCTTTTAGTAAAGAATACATGATAAACATACATTTGAAATCAAATAAAGTGAAGTCATGGTGAAATTGGCAATGAGTATTTTACAGTACAGTACAAGAGCACAAACGTGGCCCCAGTCAGCTGCAGACACATCTCCACCACATTTCATCACTGCTCAGGCAAAAGCAGCAAAATCTCTTCTATATGTCTCCATGTATGCATGTTTCAGAATAACCACCAGGTTATTTCTGCTGGAAAACAATGAGTTCCTCATATGGCAATTATTTTTACAGCAACCATAAACATGACTGGTTGCCTATGAATGAAGAAATGAATCCTAGGATTAAGTGTTAATCTTAGTTCCCAGCATGAGGAATAGAAAGAAAGAAAGAAAGAAAGAAAGAAAGAAAGAAAGAAAGAATGAAAGAAAGAAAGAAAAGTGTGTTCATGGGAAGAAAGCAGTTGGGGTCCAAAGACCAGAGCTCTGCTGTGAGGTTAAGCAATTCAGTTGAGGAGGGCCAGCAGACTAGAGGACCTACCTCTGTACATGAAGATCTATGTGGGGGGGAGGGGCTCAAAGGAACCCCCTCTGTGCCCCCGCTCTCCTAAATCGAATCAGAGAGAAATGGATTGGTCAGCCTGATTATCATAACTTAACAACTTTTCAAACAGCTCTGAAACTAGCATGTGTAGCATAGGATAAAACTTTAGAAACTGCTCATTTCCCACCACTGGTGTTTCACTAATAAAAATTAAAAAATAAAATAAAATAAAACGATAAAAAACTAAAGATTTGGAAGAATTCCAAAAAAAAAACCTTTAGAAACTGCTAATCTTCACTTGACTGGGGGGGGGGGTGAAAAAATGTATAAAATTAGTTTAAAATTTTGACAATTAAACCACTCCTGAAATTATTGGAATGTGCAATTTAAGGGTGATAAGCTACAGTTGATCTAGAAATCATCTAGTCAGTTTCAATCAAATGGTGAAAAAACTGTTACAAAGATGATATTTTCTATAGCCAGTTAAGTTTATTTTTTAACCTTGGCTTCTTGTAGTGATAAACTTAAGCATTTTTGAAATCCTGAAGGGCATCATTCAAGACTTAACTTACTCAAAAGTCTGTGCAACAACACCCAAAAGGAGAGAGAGAACAAAAGGGAATGCCCTGCCACAGAGGCAGGGTGGAATGGAGGGGATGGGGGGTGGGAGGGATGCTGGGACCTGCGGTGGTGGAGGATGGGCGCTGGTGGAGGGATGGGTACTTGATCATTGTATAACTGAAACCCAAGCACAAAAATTTGTAAGTCTACAACTGTACCTCATGGTGTTTCACTAATAAAAATTAAAAAAATAAGTGTGCAAGCACCAACTCTCCTTCCCTATCTGATAAGTTAATGGGAAAGAAAAATAAATATCCACCTAAGTTGAATCAACCCTCAAACACCTTTTGTGACACAATCTAATGTCAAACATTTTTCTTATCAAATTGCTGGTTTTGATATTGGTCAAAGTCCTTTGTGATTTCAGGACAGACGGTTGACTCCAAACGGAGCCATTCATTCAGTAGACGTGGTAGCAATTCATGGGTCTTACAACTCACTTGCTCAAAGCATATTGGCTCCCTTCCACCCAGCATAGAGAATCACTAGTCAGACAAGGCTAAAGATCTTAGGGGACATAATCAGGCCAGCGAGCACAAAGAAGAGGATTCCATGGTTTAGTTTCACAAACACAAAGATTGCGTTGTGGGGTCCAGAGCTGGAAGGGAAGACTGAGAGGAAGCCAGCAAGAGCTCAGCTCACGGAAAGGAAGTACCGCAAGAACTAAGCCTGCAGGCAAAGGGAGAAAGTTAAGATTTTGTAAACTTTTATTTCTTTTAAAACAAGGATGTTACAGGAGAGTTGCTACAGTAGATAAAGTGCTTGTCTTTCACAGTGGTCAACCAGGGTTCAATTTCCAGTACACATATCCCACTTCAGCACCACCAGGAGTAATCCCTGAACACAGTGATCCCAATCCCTGAGCACTGCTGGGTATGGCCCCCAAATAAATAAATAAAAGCATTCAAAATAAAATTAGCTATCCATGACGTATTCGATATGCCAAACACAGTAACAACAAATCTCACAATGTTACTGGGCCAGCAAATCAATGAACAGCTGGAGGACAGTGACAGTGACAGTGACAGATTAATGTTATGACTCAGGCAATTCAGAAATGTCTATATAATACCTATTAAAATACAAGACTAACTGCATGGATGGGGTCGTGTGGGAAAAAGAGCACAGACCTATTCTTCCCCTAAAAACCCTCCAGTGAGCCTTGGAGGTAACTACTTAGGAATAATCAAGGAAATGAGCGGAAGTACTTAAGCACTAGTACTTCCCCCCTCCCCCCCCTTCCCCTTCCTCCCCACCCCCATCAATCTCGGAGTTAATTTTTTCTTTCTGGATAATTTTTGCAGCATAGTCTAAAAGAGGCAGCCAGGATCAGAGGGGGTGAAGGTTTCGAACCAGTGCTCTTTGTTCTGATTCTAACTTTTCCATTTCATCTGCTTTTCCATACACAGGCTGCACTAAGTGAGGCCGCAGACGCCTGTCAACGTGACATAAGTCCTCTCTGGAAGCATGGGTCTGTGGGGACCGCGCTGGGGATGGTCCCACGGGCAAAGTGACCACCTGAAGTGGCTTCTTGTTGGGTCTCTGGCCCAGTTGTCGGGGCTAAGTGTCCTGGGGACCCAGGGGGGCGTCGCCTGACCAGCAAACACCTGCACCGCGCAGCTGGCACGCAGGAAGGCGCCCGGGGCCCCGCGCGTCCCCCCGCCGAGGGTCAGCGGCTGCAGATTCCGAGTTCGGTTCCTTTTTCTGCAGCCTGACCCAGAGGAACAGGCTGCCCACCTCCAGCGCCGTCGGCGGAGCCCGTTGGCTTGCTGCCCCCGCAGACTGGCTGCGCGTGAGGGTGGACCGGGAGCCCGGCGTCGGGGGACTCTCGTCCCTGGACATCGGGGACTCTCCCTGTCCACCTGCAGCCCGCCAGAGGTCGCTTGCCCGCCGGGCGCTGGGCGGCGCGGTTGAATCACGGGTGAATCACGGTTGCAGGGTCCCGGAGTTTCCTCGGCAGAGGAGGAGCCGGGCGGGGGTGTGGACTGGCCGGTGCCGCCCACCGCGACGGGGCGGGGGGGGGGGGGGGTGATGCGGGGGCGGGCGCCGGGCCGGGCGCGCGGGCGGGCGCTGGTTTATAGCGCGCTGGGCCGCGCTGGCCGCACTCGCCCGCCGCCTCCGAGCGCTGCCAACGCTCTCGCTCGACTCGCCCGGGATCCCCTGGACATGGCGCCCCACGCCCGCCCGTTGCGTCCCGGCGTGGCCCGGCTGCTGCTCTTGGGCTGCCTCTTGGCTCCGGTGCCCGGCTTCGCAGGTGAGTGGCCCCCGTTGGACGCGCTGCCCTCCCCGGGAGTGTTGGGATGAATCTGGGTCCCCGCACCGGGCGCACTGGCCTGAGATGCTTGATGAGGTAGTTCGCGCCCCGGAAGCCGCTGCGCCTCCGGAGAGATGCTTGCCCCGGGGGGCCGTGGCGGTTGCGTAAAGGGACTTTTTTGGCTCCTGCTTTGGTATTAGGGAAAGCGATTTCCTGAAAGCCCTCGACCTTGATGATGGTAGAACGCGCTCTCGCACCTGCAGGGTCCCTTGATCCCGCGGCCCCTGCACACCTTCCTTGGTGAGGAAGGCCCTGCTGGTTGGTTCCCACTGCGGGGAGAGGCACTCTTCGGAATGAAGCTAGGTCGGAGCTGGAGCTGGGACCACATGCTCCCCGTGTCGGTTGGGTGTCTGGGGCTGGGTGTGACCTACTTTGCACTGGCCTGGTTGACGGGGTGCTTCCTGAGCCCAGGAGGCAGAGCAGAAGTCTGGATCCAGCACCTGCTGGTGCTCGGAGTACCAATTTCCCCGCACAAACCTCGCTGTGAGTAGTGTGGTGGCCCTGAGCATCAGATCCGCATGGGATTCTCCCCAAGCCCCTAGAAAAATAAAACTATGCAACCCCTTGCCCGTGCACACCAGTGTATATGGCAAGCCCCACGTGTCTTATGGAAGCTTCAATTTAGGGGACATTGTTAGATAAAAATGGAAAAAATCAGGCCTGGGAATATTATCCGGATGCAGGTCCAAGTTCTCATACAAGGAGGGACTTAACTTTACATGAAGGGACTAACGTCCCTGCCTGCCCACCTTCCATCCTTCTGTAATCCGCTCTTGCCAGAGGAGATCAGGGACAGCTGGGACAGGTACAGCCCCTGCAGGACTCTTGGGTCTTGGGACCACGAGGTTACTGCAAATAATTTCAAATACGGACTTCAAGTATCTTGCCTGTCTTCTAAGATGACAGAGATCTTCCATAAGAAAATTCTGAAGATGCATTTCTCTTCTTAATTCAACAGTGAAGTTTGGGGTGGGGGGTTCAGAAAAAGTTTTAATGTAATAGCCAAGGGCATGGCTCGAGTGTTAGAGCAGAGACCTTAGGTTTGACCCTGGGTACAACAACCCCATACACCCTTCTCCCTCCCCTGCACTCTTCCCAAGTGTGAAGCATGTGGTGATGTCCAAGCTTGGGGGGAGGTGTTTTGTCCAACGTGAAATTGTGTGCTAAGTTCATGTAATGATACGCTGTTTTTCTGTTGTTTTAAGGCACTACAGATGTAGTGGTACCATATAATTTGACTTGGAAATCAACTAATTTCAAGACAGTTTTGGAGTGGGAACCCAAATCCGTCAATCACGTCTATACTGTTCAGATAAGGTAAGCCTGATACAAAAGAGAGAGAGAAAGAAAATTAATGTTTGATGTTTCCATTTTCTTGCACTGAATACCATGCCTATAAGGCAGCAAGTGGCTGGAATGATATAGCAGGTGACAGACAAGCAGACTTGTGCGGTCATTTGTGCCCAGAGCCATGTGCTTCGCATGTTCCTAGATCTTCCACTGAGTCCATCACCTGGTTGTTGTTGGAGATGATGGGAACATGTGGACATGCTGTGTTCCTGCAGGGAAGAGATCCTGGCGGTGCTGAGGGCCGCTGTGTAATAATGAGGCTCGTGCAAGCACACCCATCTTTTTCCTTTGCTGTCTAGACTGTAAACCGGGTTTAAACATGTGAGAGAATGGGTGGGAAGGAGTTCAGATGTATACATTGCCCTCAAGCAGTGTTTGATTCATTAATCTTTAGACTCTGTGCATACCTGTTTGAAGGAGGTCAGATTTGTGACTCACGGAGTTACAGTTCATATACCCTCTGCTGCCAACCTGCTCTGTTCTCATTTCTCATGGGCACCTTGGCCCCAAGCACCCAGAATTCTCCATATGCAATTGAGATGCTTCTATGTCTTCCTGGAGAATGTTAACCTTCTCTTGCTTAGGTTTGGGGTTTCTGAATTGTTGTAAGAGGTTTTGCAGAGAGCTTTTTAAATGGGAAATCTACAGAAGGAATTATTTTAACACTCATCATATAAAGGCGCAAGACTATCCTTGGTTAAATGTAAAGAATTTTTGGATTTTTTTTTGTTTCATTGTTGTTGGATGTTTTGAATAGTTTGGGCTTTTGTTGGGTCTTTACAGAGTCAAAAGGCTGGTCTTGTAGGTGGAGGTTCTTTTTTTCATTTTCCAAAAGCAGTTTTATGATGACATTTGCCAAACCAAAAGGGAAAAGAATCTGTGAATGTGCATGGGATTTCATAACCCCAGCTAATAATTACAAGAATGGTCAAACTTGTCAGGTTGTATTTCACTCATTGAGAATTAGCTCTTCCTTCCACTGCTATAAATTGGCTTTAGTCAACACAGCACTTTCCCTGTAGGGAAACATAGTCTGCAGGAAAATGCCCAGCCCCTACACCCATCTCACCACAGCTTTCCTGAACATGTGGAAACCTATTTCTTACTTTCCTGGTTGGTCCACACAGGTAACTCAGAGTTCTTAAGCTTGTCAGGGCCACTGTTGGTTATGTGGTGGCCACCGTTGATGTTTAAATATCTTCATACAGAGCTGGGGCTGACAGGGATGAGGAGGAGAGGCCTTTAGGGAACCCTTAGCTGCAGCCTGAAGCCACTCTTCTCTGTGCTTCCCTGGGGTGGAAAAGATTTCTGGATGAGGAGGATGATCTCAATCACCTGAGAGAAGGGTTTCATCCTGTCCGCACACAAACCCAGGTCACCACGTCTCCTCACCCCAGCCTCCCTGTGAAGCCCTAAACCAGGAAAGGATAAAAAGTCCCTCTTTGTGCATTCTCAGTAGCCTAGGGTCATCCACACTCTCTGGGGTCCTTCCCTGCAATCCTCATTCTTGACCCGTGACTAACTACTAAACTTAAATTTTCACGACTGAATACAGGGGTTATCACAAAGCTGTTTTAATAGATTTCTTTATGACACATTATTAGTAAATGTGTGATTCAGTTAGATATTTTGCATATCCTAATACTGGGGTCATGTAAAAAATGTCTTCACCAGAGCCAGAGAGATGCACAGGGGATAAGGCACTTACTTGACTTGCTTGAGGCTGGCCCTTATCCCCAGCATCATATATGATCTCCCTGAACCCTGCCAAGTGCGATCCCTGAGCACAGAGCTAGGAGTAGGTCTGTGCACCACCAAATGTTGCACCCAAACAAAACAAAAAACCAATTTCTTGAGCAAAGGATAGGGAGTGTGGTTCTGCAGCACAACAGCGAGTATCCTTGCATGAGTGAGACCCTGGATTTGGTCCCCAGTACGGAACTCATTAAAAAATATATTCTATTTCCTTAGCACAAAGGAAGGGGGGGAAATTTAGGAAAGTAAGCAAGTGAGGAGGGTTTCATTGTATTACTGAAACCCAAGCACAAAAATTTGTAAGTCTACAACTGTACCTCATGGTGTTTCACTAATGAAAAATTTTTTTTAAAAAAGTGTGGAAAGTTTAAGAAGTTTTGCTTTAACGTGCTGCCCCTCTTCGGTCCATATCAGCCTGTCAGCCACGGGGCTCAAGCCCCTACTAGGAGTTCCAGCTGAATTTACCCTCTTTGGAACCAGTTTTCTGCAGTAACGGGAGAGTATTGTTCAGGCACAAGCCTGAACACTCAACTATTTCCTGTAGTATTCTTTCTTAAATTTTCTTTTCATTCATTTACTTGTTTTGGCCTCCGGGCCCCACTGTTTGCAAATCTCTGCCAACTGGGCCAGAGAGTTAAATTCTGGGATCCAGGAATTTACAATGCTACTCAGGCCCATCCATGCAGGGGACGCCCCCACCCAAGGTGATATCCTTCAGTGCTGTGGGAGCTGGGGGCCATATGATGCTGGGGTTGAACTTGGGGCCTTCCACCTCTGATCCCAGTCTATCTCCCCAATCCCTATAATAGTGATTCCAAAGTAATGTTCTGAATTCAAAAACTGAATTTCCAAAGTTTTTAGAAAAGCAACTCATGATCCCAAGTTCTGTGGGAATTATCTTTTTTTTTTAATTTTAATTAGTGAGACACCATGAGGTACAGTTGTAGACTTACAAATTTTTGTGCTTGGGTTTCATTTATACAATGATCAAATACCCATCCCTCCACCAGTGCCCATTTCCCACCACCACGGATCCCAGTATCCCTCCCACCCCCCATCCCCTACATCCCACCCTGCCTCTGTGGCAGGACATTCCCTTTTGTTCTCTCTCTCTCTCTCTCTCTCTCTCTCTCTCTCTCTCTCTCTCTCTTCCTCCTATTGGGTGTTGTGGTTTGCAAAAGAGGCAATGGGTGGCAATCATGTTTGGTCTATAGTCTACTTCTACTTTCGGCATGCTTCAGTGGGAATTATCTTTAGTAATTAAGGCAGGACTTTATTTTGTTCAAGTCAGAAACCTTAAAAGTTTTTGCTTGCTTATTTATTTATTTATTTATTTATTTGCTTTTTGGGTCACGCCTGGTGATGCACAGGGGTTACTCCTGACTCTGCACTCAGGAATTACCACTGGCAGCGCCCAGGGGACCATATGTGATGCTGGGAATCAAACCCAGGTCGGCCACATGCAAGGCAAACGCCCTACCCGCTGTGCTATTGCTCCAGCCCCCCAAATTTTTGCTTTTTTAGAGTGTTAATGCTGGGATAGGCATGTGGCTCAATGGTGGAGAGTTTGTCCTGCCTGTATGAGGTTTTGGGTTTGATCCTCCACACCTCACATACATATACATGCGTGCACACACACACACACACACACACACACACACGCACGCACGCACTCACACTCATACACACACACAGTTCAGACTGACAACTGCATTCAAAGAAACTTACTAGAGTATTGCCCTTTCATTACCTGCTCACAAGTCTTTGTAGCTTTTGAGATACAAGCTCTGTCTGTGCTAAGATGCACTCTAAAGTCTTGTTGTTCTTGATCATGAACTGGGAGGCACCAAATTCCAGTGGATTGTAGCCAGGGAGGCCAGCAGTCCTGTTATCAGACGACTTGTTTCCTCATAATGAGGGAGAAGAGCCATTCTCCCTATTCTCGTTTGCCTTTTTAAAATAGAAGTGGCTGAATTTGAAATACATTTTGCTCATTCTGGAATTAAGCCAGCCTCCCTTCTTTTGCCACAGAAACTTAGAAAAATCTCAGACACCAACGCATTTCTCTGTCACTCATAGTTTGTGGATTTTGAGACTAGGAGAGTATTTATCTAAATATGCTGTCTGGTTATTTTGTTCAGATTGTTTTTAAGAAAAAAATACCCGGAGGCTGGAGCAATAGCACAGCGGGTAGAGCGTTTGCCTTGCACGCAGCCGACCTGAGTTCGATTCCCAGCATCCCATATGGTCCCCTGAACGCCACCAGGAGTAATTCCTGAGTGCAGAGCCAGGAGTAACCCCTGAGCATTGCCAGGTGTGACCCCCCCCCAAAAAAAAATAAAGAAAAAAGAAAAAAACCTATGTATTCAAGTGCTTTCAGTGAGAAAGCAGCACTGGGCAGGGAAGAGGGAGATCAGTTCTGAGCGCGAAGATCTAAAAAGTAGAAAGATCTAGAAAGTTCCACGTGGAACGTGGAATTGACTGGGTGATGAGGGAGGTCCTGGGGGTCGATGGTGCTGAAGGGAAGAACAGCGTAGCTGATACCTTATGGGTGGCAGAATGTGGGGGAAGTTGCAGTCATATTCATCTATGAATTTTTGAGGGGCTGGGGGGGGGGGGTTATTCCAAGCAGTGCTCTGGAGCCTCAGAGACATTCCCAGTGTTTCTCAGTTAAGGGGACCATGGTTTTGCCAAAGATCCATCTAGGACTGGCCCCATGCAAGGCATACACTTTAACCCTGTACTTGCTCTCTGAGCCCCATATCAGGTGGTTTTTGTGGGTTTTTAAAATAATTTTGTTTTTCGTCTTCTTTAAATCATTTTCTTTTTTAAGATATCTTTAAAATTAATCATCTGTTAGTCTGTGAACTCTTTTGAATACTCAGAATTATACTTGTATAATCTTTGATCCATTCATTTCTTGAAAATTGATGGATGCCTGTACTTGATGAGATGAATAGGCTCATTCTCAGACTGATGAGTTATGTAGCCTGATACAAGTTTTCAGCATCTCCGAGCTTCCTCAGACTGTCCTCATCTGAGACCCAGTGTCTTCCTGATCAGATTTTATCTAACAATGTAGCATGTGTAGTGAGCACAGAACAGCACCTGGAATAGTAGACTCAGTAAATAGTAAAGAGACAAATCAATAATGGTCATGATAGAAGGTAGTTTATTATGATGTAGACTTTATTGATATCAGAGGGAAATTATTTTAGAATATAGAATGTGATATAATAAACTAAATATAACAGTATAAAAGAATTAGTAGACTTAATAAAGAATTAATACATTAATTAATTCTTTTCCCCCATGTAACTCTGAAGAATTATTGTGTGATTTGTTTTTGGTTTGGGGGCCACACTTGCTGTACTCAGGGATTCCTCCTAGTGTGTACTCAGGGATCATTTGTGGTAGAGCTCAGGGATCATATGTGGTTCCAGGGATCAATTCCAGTTGGTGTGCATGCAAGACAAGCACTCTACCCACTGTGCTATCTCTTGGCTCCAAACTGTCTGATTTTTAAGAGTTAAGCTAAAAATTATTCAGGATACAGACCTAGCAGTCCACCTTCTGTCTGACTCAAACCCCAGATGCACCATAAGCATCAACACTATTGTATACATGTGACCCAATCTATAATTGTATTTTCTTTTTAAAAAGATGAGTTCCTGTAGTCCGGGTGGGAGGGGACCTTGAGACATTAGTGAGCAGCCCCTGACATGGGTGGTGGACATGATGCTGGAATGTGTAAGCATTGTGAATGCACTCCCAGTGGAGAAACCCCTTCACTGTTCACCTGTTTCTTTTTTGTGAGATGGAGACTGAGCACAGACCATCCCGGGCGGCTGGCAGGACTTGAGCTCCCTGAAGTGTCAGTACACTAGTCTTTCCTGGGAGCCAGTGGTTTCTGTCCTACGCCCAGTGTGCTCCATGCTGCCGGATACAAATCCTAAGGCTCTGTGTGTTTTCCTTCCTTCCCTCAGTGATAAACTTGGAGATTGGAGAGGCAAGTGCTTCTCCATCACAGACACGGAATGTGACCTCACCGACGAGATCATGAAGGACGTGAATCAGACGTACATGGCGAGGGTCATTTCCATCCCCGTGAAGGTCACCAGTTACACAGAGGAGCTCTCCTACATCAACTCCCGGAAGTTCACACCTTACCTGGAAAGTGAGTAGCTCTGTCTGTGATCGTCTTTCCTCTGGGGTGTTCGGAGCTTCTGAAGATTCTGGAGAGTTTGTAGCCTTTAGGGCCCATGATATACAACTGAAAAAAATATTCATGCATAACTTTTCTCAGACTGGAGTGCGTCACCTCCCTCTCTGCTTGTGGTTGTTGCAGCAGGAGGAATGTGACGTCTGACTCAGTAACAGGGGCATCCAGTAGAAGCTGCAGGAACCGGCCAGATGGGGTTGGCAGAGAGAGAAGGCTAGCAAAGTTACCCAAGGAAGGCGTGTCAGCAACCCCATGGGTATTGTGGATCTATATGGATATCCCGTCATCAGACAGGGCCCCCTGCAGGATTTCTCACAAGGGTTGGGAAAGCAGGGGTGAAGTCTGAGGCCCAGAGCTGTTGCTGGGCCTCTGACCTTCCCCAGCATTTTGGCCGCGCGGTCAGCCCTGTGATGGATGCTGCCTGGCCAATCCTGAGCATGCCATCTTCATGCAGCTTTCGCAGATGTGTGATGCCTCCCTCCCTCCCCAACATTTGCTTCAGTAAGCTGAACCCACACCGAGCAAGGGGAGCGCTGGGAATTCCCGCCAACCAGGAGATTGCAGTTTGCTTTCCGGTCAGCCTGAGCTTCAGTCCCACGGAGGGAGCTGAAGCGAACAGTTGTTGCATGACCAGCAGAGCACCCTCAGCTGCCCTTAGAGGAAAAACTTGAGGAACCCTGTAGGGGGGTTGGCGTTTCATTTCCTCTGTGGTGAGGAACCGTTTTATCAGGGAGGTATGGAGAGAAGCAGGGCAAAGGAGAGCCACTCTACCTTTCCTAGGAGAGGTCTCTTTCCTTTGAGTCTCAAACAGGGGCAACTATTCCCCATGGAGCTGGCTGCCTGCCTGTCCCTGTGACCAGCTCCTGTTCTCAGCTTCCTGCCAAAGCCCCAGGTCCTGCGATGAACCTCATGAGCCCGGCTCTTGCTTCTTCCTTTTAGCCTTTATGCTTCTTTGCCAAGACATGAGTTCTGTGTAAGCTACTTCAGATCCTTTTTTTTTCTGGCACCAGATAAACCATATTTTATTTTATTTTTTCCACTTTTTAATTTATTATTTAAAAATTTAGACACCATGAATTACAAAGTTGTTGACAATAGGGTTTTAAGCAAACAATATTCCCGCCTCCAGCCCTACCACTCCGTGACCCCATTACTTGACCACTGACCTCAAGTTTCTTCCCATGTACCCTACAGCCTGACTCCTTGACAAATATTAGATCATATTTTAGTTGTGGATTTTCTTGGCATGTGCTCATGGATGTACTTGCTGCTTGCATTTAATTCATGCTAAAGCATTGGGATTTTTTTCGCTGTCATTCATGGTTGTGGAGCCACTGCAAGAGACTCAGAGATTAAATTGGTTCCACTTGAGTCCAGAGTAGTAGGATAGTGGGGAGGATGCTTGTCTTGCATAGGACAGATGCAGGTTCAAGTCGCCATATTCCATACCCCTGAGCCCTGCCTGGTGTAAGTTCTGAGCATCGCCTGGTGTGGCCCCAAGACAAATTAACAAACAAACAGAGCTAAAATGGGTTCCTTATTGTACCAGGGACATTTCCTGGGCTTTCACACAGTGCCTAATTAATTTTACTAAAAACATGGGATAAGTTAACTGTGCACACTGAATGGGGTCCTGCTTTGTACAGCATCTGTGGGCACCAGCCAAGCTCATTTTCTCTGTTTCAGCCAACATTAGTCAGCCAACAATTCAGAGTTTTAAACAAGTTGGAACAAAACTGAATGTGACTGTACAAGATGCACATACCTTAGTCAAGATGAACCACACATTCCTGAGCCTCCGGGAGGTCTTTGGCCAGGACCTCACCTATATACTGTATTATTGGAAAGCTTCCAGTACAGGAAAGGTGAGAATTCTTTCCATTACCTTTGTGACTTGTTTGAAGTCGGGGACCCTTCACTGTGCAGCCTGTTTCTTCTATAGTTCAATGCTCACAGAACACGGCTTGGAAAATACGTGGAGGGGACTTGTGACTTTGGTCAGGCCTTTCTGTGCCGAGGTTTTCCAGCCATCCAGGTCATTTCTAGGGTCCTGCCAGATCCTATGTTTTTCCTCTAATGAGGGTTCCATCAATTGAATTTGTTTTCCACTCAGCGATAATACGTCATTCTTTTTTTCCTTTACTGAAAATATCTCTGAAAGGGGTCAAACTGGGGTAGAATGGGCCTAAACTGGGGTGTCTTCAGTCTTGTAAAAGCATCATTAACGGTAATCATTTCAATTTCTTGTCAAGTCACTTCTAATCCTTTACATGGAAAATGTGTCCAGGTGGCCTCGCTTCCAGAGACACTTGGTAAAGGAGAAAGGAATCACTGTGAACCCAGATGAATTAAGAACATACTCTGTTTTAACAGAAAACAGCCAAGACAAACACTAATGAGTTTCTGATTGACGTGGATAAAGGAGCAGACTACTGTTTCTGTGTCCATGCAGTGATTCTCTCACGAAAGTTAAACAAGAGGAGTCCCGATAGCACCACCGAGTGCACCAGGCGAGGGAAAGTTGCATCCCAAGGTGAGTGACACTGCCTGATCTTCTGGGGGCCTGGAACCCTTCTAGGGATCACCCCACCCAACAGGAGCAGGATGCATTTCTTCCCTTCAGAGAGAGAAACTGCTTTGGGCTTTTGCTTCTGTCGTTTTGCTTTGTGGGGTCTCTTTAGGGATTCTTTACAGTTCCAGGCCTGTATAAATGTCCCTTGCAGTTTCCTCTCCCAATAAGTGTTTTCTGGCATGGCTGCCATGTTCCAGGTCTGCAAAGCACTGGGCGCACAGGTGCATTTGTAAGATTTAGCATCTAATCACAGATTCCCCCAGACATTTTTTCATACTTAGTAGAGTCCTGACCAGGGAGGGCTCTTCTCCTGGTGAGCACCCAGTGGTCTGTTGTCAGGAAGGATGTAAGTTCTCTGCCAATTGTTCTCAAGGGGGGAAATTCTTCCGCTTCCCATGCTTGAATGAGCCAAGAACACGGTAGCTTCAGTTGCAGTTGGTGGATGCTTTCTGGGCTTTAGGGGTTTTGATTTGGGGGTGGTTGATGGTGGTGGCTTTTTTGTTGTCTTTTTGGCTACACTTGGCAGTGCTCAGGGCTTATTTCTGTCTTTGCGCTCAGGGATCAGTCTTGATGGTGCTCAGGAACTGAATGGGATACCAGGGACTGAGCCTGGGTCAGCTACATGCAGAGCAAATGCCTTACCTGATGTACTTATCTCTCCAGCCCCATATTTTTGTGTTTGTTTGTTTGCTTAAAGAAGAACATTTCCAGGGGGAGCTTAGAGGGATTTGGTTTTTATGTTTTGTTTTTTTCTGAAAAGTGGGCAGTTAATCTGGGATGCTCTGGTCTGAGCAGTATAGGGAGGGATTGAGTGGATCAGATACCCCTGGTGTCTGGACATGCTGGGGGAGTTTCTAACTGGAAGTCCCACTTGATTCTGGACAGGGGGCAGAAAGCCAGACTTCTCTGCCCCCATTGCTGAGTGACGTGCTTAAGAACTTTCAAGGGACAGAGGCACAGACAGGGGCTGACCTCGCTTCTGGAATAAATTGCAGGCAACTTTACCCAAGGTTCCATTTGTTGACGCTGCCCCCAGGGTGGGCACTGCTGCTCCTTTGTCTCTCCAAGCCCAGTCTGGCACCTTTACCCACTTTTCTAGGCACACACAGCCTCCTGCCTCTCCCTCTCTACTCCTCCATCTGCCCAGATGTGTCCTTTGAGGACCATTTCACACACTGTTGCCACCACAGTGGAAGCAGCCTTCTGATGCCCAGGACAGCTATCGCCCATCCCTCCCCTGCATCCTTGAAGCAATTTGTGTCCCTCTGCATTGATGGTCCATCCTCTGCCATGGTCATTGTTGGCAGCCACTTATTTCTGACAGCTGCTCAGCTTCCAACTGCCTGTTCTTTTCTTTCTTTTCTTTTCTTTTTTATCGGGGCACCATGATTTACAGATATTCATAGTTGAGTTTTAGGCTTACAAGTTGACACTGACCAAGCCAGTGTCACTTCCCTCTACCGACAAAACAGGATAAAGGGAAGACTAGATGTTTGATGCAGTTAATTTAACAGCCCTCCACATGTCTTTGCCCTTGTCATTTCCTCTAAAGCATGTCCATTGGATGATTCCTTTTTTATCTAAATGTGTTGTGGTGGGAAGAGCAGTGGAAAGACATTTCAAGTATTGCAACGTCCTTTGAGTTGATGCCCTCCATTCCACCTCTAACAAATGGGACTTGGGCTCTCCTAAGTTGCCTTGGCACCTTTTGTTTTTCAGAACTGTTCTTCATCGTTGGAGCTGTGGTGTTCGTGGTCATCATCTTCATCATTGTCCTTGCTCTGTGTCTGCACAAGTGCAGGAAGAGGAAGGCAGGACACAGTAGGAAGGAGGGGTTCCCCCTCAACACAGCATAAACACACGCTATGGGAGCTGCCCGCTGCTAGAGTCTCGACTGTACTGTGACCAAGAACTCTTCAAAGGATGGATGAGATGAAAACACAAATGAATATTGCAGTACATGGAGACCTTTGGGCAGGAAAGAGAAAAAGACAGAACAGGCTCTTAGTCAACCTGGTCTCACAATTGGCATTCCAGTTTCAACACTAGCATGAGTCACTTTGGAATTTAAAGAATGGTACTGCTAACTCCAAGTTTTAAAGATTTTTATTTTAACACTATGGCACATTTTGCACATACCGTGTGTTAAGACTATGTATTCTGTGTTCAAGATGATACCAGGTCATCTGAGCAAGAACAAATGCCTTTAAAACACAAAATCCTAGGGGGATGTTTGGGAAACTTTGAGAGACTGACATCAACTCCTATGGAAATGTAAAATGGAAATGGGGTGGATTTTTTTCTACCACATGTCTATTCTTTTGTCTTATGGTGTTCTGTTCTGGTGGTTGTTTTAGTTTGATTGTTCTCTGGTTTTGTTTTCCCTGGTTTTGTGTCTGTGTGGAAGTTTGAAACAACTGACCAATTTTTATATGAATGTATTCAATGCAGAGGACTTCCATTTTGGACACATTCCTAACATACATTACAGCTCAGCACTTTAACTGACATAGATGCTGTTGATTGAACATTTGACAGCTAGCTACCTGTCAAATTATTTTTGTACGACTACTACCCAAGCTACACAGAGTTTATGATTTGAGGTACTTAAGTTTCTGTGGTCTATATTTGTATATATTTATATAATTTTTTAAAAAGTTGTTGTATATGGGGGTTTTCTATTTATAGAGGTAATATTGTTCTATTTGTATATTTTGATATAATTTATTTAATATACTTTTATATAAATAAAAGGTGACTGGGAATTGTGACTGTTGTATTCACATATTTATCGTGTCTTTTTTATATTTATGACTTGGTCCGTCGTGTTTTCTGCTGCATTAATACGAAGCCCAGCAGTTTATGATGGTGTTGCTTTTATTGTTCAAGTTACGTTGGGTGCAGTTCTTTCCTTTTCTTTACTTTTTTTTGTTTAGGGTCCACACCCAGTGGTGCCCAGGGGCTGCTCCCAGCTCTGTGCTCAGGGCTCACTCCGCAGTGCTTGGGATGGAACCTAGCCTCCCACATGCCCAGCCCATGTTCAGCTCCTTGAGCTTTCTCTCTGCCCACTGCAGCTCTCCTTCATGACTTCATTCAAGAGAACAAACCAAAGGTCAAGCCCCTGTGTGGAGCCAGGTAGGGAGGAAAACAAAGACACAGAAACAAGCAACCACATCTTCAAGCCTCCTCTTAAAACTTCTGCCCATAGAAGCCACTTTTAGGAGCAGGACTGGAGCAGCCAAGGCTGAAGGCCAACAGCTGGCTCCAAGAGAGTGTCCCAGGGGTCACAGGGTCAGCGACAGAGATCATGTTTCAGGGAAGAGAGTGAGAATGCAAACTCCTGCAAAGTTCCCAGGCATGGGGGGAGAGGGCCCCTGCCTAGGTATTTGAGTTACAGAGGAAGTTTGGAGAGGAGGGAGGAACCAAAACTCTTTGTCTTGACTAACAGGTGAAAGAGAAAGACAAAACTGGACTGAAATCTGACATTTAGCAGGACTGAGTGGTTTCCTGCAGACAGGGCTGGGCCATACCAGTTAACTGCCCTTTTAGGTGACTTATTAATGGGCTGTCTTTGCTGAATCAAACTGGCTTCATTACTCCCTTTAAAAATTAGAAGTGAAGCCTGTATTTAAATAATTTAAATAATGCAGTCTTGACTTCTAATTTCCAGAGGGAACAGAAATTGTTCCTATTTGTATATTTTTATATAATTTAATATACTTTTATATAAATAAAGATGACTGGGAATTGTGACTGTTGTATTCACATATCTATCGTGTCTTATTTATATTTATGATTTGGTCCGTCGTGTCTTCTGCTGCAATAATACTGCAATAAAACAAGAACCGAGCTCTTGCTTCCCAGCTGTATGGGAGAATTCTAACTCACGATGAAAACCAGTGTCCTGGCACCACGTTGCGTTGGCAGAGTGAACCACAATGGCCTTTGCTCTATGCTGTGGAAACCTGGGTGCCTGTGGTGGAGGTGAAATATGCAGATCACCCATCACCCGGAAGAGTTTCCACAGGGAGAGGTGGAGTAAGCAAGAAGTGAGGGACCAACATGCCATCCCCCGTCTCACTTTTCACGACTTTTTATTTATAGGGGAGAAGGAAGAGGGCCTCAACTATGGGTTTTGGGGTTATTTATTTCTGGCTCTGTGCTCAGGAGTGACCCCTGGCAATGATGGGGGACATTATGTCACTAAGGATTGAACCTGGCTTGATCGCACATAAAACTAACCCCTTAACCTCTGTACTATCCCTCTGGCCTGTTTATGACTCTTAATCCGTTTGGTTTCTGTGCTCTGGCAGTCATCCTCAACTTTGAGTCTGCAGAACAGTGTAAGTCCACAGGTGTAAGAAGGCTAAAATCCACTGCAAAAGAACTCCAAGTACTGTCAAGAAACTCTGATCAGGAGGTGTTTGATCTAGCATTCTGTGCTGAGGAAGAATGGACACAGCATAAAAATGGTAACCTGAGAACCCAGAGCACAGGGGTGGGTGAGGTGCTTGCCTTGTATGCAGCCCATCTTGTTCTACACCCCACACAGCACAAGGTCTCCCAAGCACCAGGAGTGAACTCTGAGCACAGAGCTGGGAGTGAGTCCTGAGTGTTGCTGGGTTTCACCCAAACCCTCCTTTCCCCCGACAAAAATAAAGAAAGGGAGGGAGGGAAGAAAGAAGGAAGGAAGGAGCACGAAAGAGGGAAAAAGTAGAAATGTTAGAGATACTGAGAGGAAACCAGTTATCAGCCTCTTGGGTTGCTTTTGTTAGTTCATTTGCTCTCAGTAGCCTGTGCTGTTGCCAGTGAGGGTCAGCCATGTCACTCGCAGTATCTGTTTTTCCAGAGAGAGAGAGGGCACCTCTACAGCATGGCCCACCCCAGAGAAGGTAGCCCAGGAAGAACCAGAGATGAGTGCAAATGCCTTATTTATTCTGAATTCCTGCTCACATGGGCAAGCTGGGACAAAGAGCATGGCCACTGTCCAGCATGTAGCCCAGGCCCCAGGACTGGTCACGTGAAGCTGGCCTGTTCCTGAGGTTGCCGGTCACTGGCCCCTGCCAGGACCCAGGCGGCCTTACATAAACCCAGACTCCTAATCTAAGGAATTTGAACGACCCTGCTGAGAACACACTGCTGAGTGAAGGCAGGGCCTGTAGGAATGAGAGGGCTGGCAGCTCCCGGGAGAGAATTCATCAGGATCTGAGTGGCTGCCTCTGACATCAGTCTGACCACACCCCCCCCCCCCCAGCAGCCGCCCCTCTCAGTTGCTCCAACTAGACAGCTGCCTTTCAAGTCAACAGTCAGGAGTGCTGGGCTAAAAGCCGGAGCCAGCCAAGTGAAACTTCATTCCTTATCCTGGACCCTCACCTGTCTCATAACGTACATAGTAAGTGAAACTCACACTTTGAAGAATGCTGGCCACCTTACATGACAGGGCAAGTTTGACTTGCCTCTGCATTAATTAATCCACGTGAAACCTGAAGGTATTTGACCTTTAGTTACAGTTGGTGGCCTGTGATCTTAAGGGATGTTCTCTCTCCTAAATAAGCCAAAGGACAGCAATCTCTAGCTATCAAACAGCAAATAATGTGACTGCTAAGTGTAGTTTTGAGATGTGTTCAGCAAGAGCTATTTTTATCCTCATTGTCTGAAGGTCTGTCACTTACCATGAGACTCTGGTTCAGGCCCTTGAATTAAAAATCAGTTTTCTTTCCTGATAGCCCTTTTCTCTGGCTGGGGCACTTGCTGGCCTTGGCTCTGCCCATCAGCACAACCCCTCCTCATGGTTCAGAGATGCACAAGATCAAACCTAGTCCAGAAAGAATGAATCTTGGGGATGTTTCAGGAAATGTTGGGGAAACTCCTGAGTAACAGCAAAGAAACATGTGCCAGCTCAAGAGCAACTGGCAGTTATCTTGAAAACCCTGAAGCGAGCTCTACCTGTCACTGACATACTGGGAAATGGCACATAAGAATGAAAAGAAACAAAGTCTGTGGTGACATCATCATACTGCTAAATCAAGCTTTGCCTGAAGCTATCCTTACAAGTGAAGTTTCCAATGGAGATAAAACAACTGAGTTGTCAAAACAACCACAGCACAAGTTTTCTTGTCTCTTTTCTGCTGTGGCCAATAGCAACAAAAACTGCTGCTATAGCTGCACTGACCATGGAATTTAAACACAAAAGACCAAGGTGCCTGTTACAAAAGCTTGTAAGAGTTAATGGTGCAAACAAAAGCAACCACTGCTGGCGTCGATGTGGGGAAAAAGGGAAACTCTTTCACTGTTGGTGGGAATGCCCACTAGTCAGCCTTTCTGGAAAACATTATGGACAGTCCTTCAAAATCTAAAAACTGAGCTTCTATATGATCCCTGAATACCACTTATGGAAATATATCCCGAGGATGCAAGAAAGCACAGTAGAAATGACATCTGTACCTATATGTTCATTGAAACACTGTTCATAATAGCCAAAAATCTGGAAACAACCCAAGTGCCCAAGAACAGATGACTGGTTAAAGAAACTTTGGTACATCTACACAATGGAATACTATGCAGCTATTAGGAGAGATGAAGTCACGAACTTTGCTTATAAATGGATAGACATGGAGAGTAGCAGGCTAAGTGAAATGAGTCAGAAAGAGAGGGACAGACATAGAAGGACTGCACTCATTTGTGGAGTATAAAACAACATGACATGAGGCTGACACCTAAGGACAGTAGAGACATGAATAGATTGCTCCATAGCTGGAAGCCTGCCTCATGAGCAAAGGGGAGAAGGCAGCTGGAATAGAGAAGGGATCACTAAGAAAAAGATGGCTGGAGAAATCGGTCGGGATGGGAGAAGTGTGCAGAAAGTATATAAATGTCCAAACATGATAACCTCTCAGGGTCAATATTGCAAACCGTAATGCCCCAAAGTAGAGAGATTATAAGGAATCATGTCTGCCATGGAGGCAGGTGGAGGGTGGGAAACGGGGAGTATACCGGGGATATTGGTGCTGGGGAATGTGCATTGGTGGAGGGATGGGTGTTTGATCATTGTGTGACTGTGACCCAAACATGAAAGCTTATAACTGTCTCACGGTGATTCAATAAAATTTTTTAAAAAAAGGCTAATGGTGCAAAAACACATTTCATTTTCAAGCCTTTAAACAATCGTTTCTCTCTAGAACTACTGCATTCTCTCTTCCAAGTTAATCATTTCTCCAATACACAAACATGTTGTATTTTTATTTTACCTTCACAAAACAATCTGGACTTTCTCAATTCCTCTTTCTTTTGGACACTGTCGTTTCCTTCCTGATTTCTAAATGCTGGGATACCTTGGTGCCCTGTCTTGGTGCCCTCAGTAATCACTCTCAGTAATACAGGTGGGCCAGGTGTCACAGTAGACGCCCATATTGGCTCTGTGTTATGCAACTCACCACGTACCTCAGCCCCTGCCAATCTCCTCCACTCCAAAATCCCATTACTTACACAGCTCCAGCTGGATGCCTGATGGGCATCTCCATCTTAATGTAGGTGGAGAGGATCTATACCTGTTCCCAACCCCAGACCCACTTCTTTTCCATTTCAAGAAGCAGCAGCACACCTGGCTCAGGACAAAGCACTGGAGTCCTTCTTGATTTCGCTTTTCTGCTCCTGCACCATTCACAGAGGGATTCCATCCTCTATGCCACATCCATTAGTGAAACAATGACAAAGAACTTCTGACAGAATGGGGACATGGGTCAAGGTGGCAGTAGGGGAGAAACAC